TTGGCAAAAGTCAAATGTCATGAACACAAAATCCTCAGTACACAAGGCCCACACTACACAGAAAAGGACAACTATGGTCACATGGCCTGTCCAGGTACAGAGAGAGACAGAGGGCAGATGACACACAATAACTGTCTCTCAAGGACTCCAACCAAGCCAAGAGAATCCAAATGAGATGTGGTTGGAACCTGCAGTTGTAGCCAGGTTGCATTTCAGGGTAAAACTGGTAGACGATGAATGTGTATTGCATATAATCTTCCTAATCTCGGTAGTTGACAAAACCTAGAAATATGAAAATTAAATCTATCTTGATCTTGATTAGAAGCTCTAAACCTAAGCTGATTAAAAGCTGTAATTTCCACTTGATAAATGACAAGTTAATATGATTGCTTGCTATTTTCTCAGACAAATTCAATGACTTCTTGATCACTCCAGATTTGATATTTGATCACAAATAGTTGGCATTTATATGCTTTTGTGCTTGAATATTGGTGTTGAGGCAGTTTGGGAAATGAAATTATCTATACTCTGAGAATTTTTTCAGACTTAATTTTTAGAAAGTTAATTTCTGTATAGATTTATGAGTCAACACTGAGATGTCCTTAATTCTTCATAACTATTTGATGGTTTGCAAGACTTTACTGTATCAAAAAGGCAAAATAAAGTATGTATTCATTGTCTGGTCACAATGATAGTGAAATCTATTAAGCCTTGAAAGTCCTTGTTATTTCATTCCTTGGTGGTTAATGTTACTCAAGTCTATATTAGAAGAAGTATCATGGTACACAGACTGGTATCTCACCCTGAACCCAAATATTTTTGAGTTCATGACCTAGTTTTATTGCATATTATTCCAATGACTTTGAGAAGTCACATAATCCATTGAAACTTTAGTTTTCAGATCATCCTTACTCTAACAAACAGATAAAAGTTGAGTAGCAAGTAAGCAACAGATTTCCATTGACCCAATTCTGTACAATTTTAACTATTCATTTTGTTCATTTCCTGACAACTCTCATGCATCTAAGAACTTCTGCAGATTATACAGCAAAGCCTTTCAGCATCCCTTAATTGTCTATCTAAACTCTGTTATTTTCCCTTGTGTCTGCTCCATTAACAGAGACTTCTGACCAAAACAAAAAGTCCCATCAGAGAACTGTCATTAACTAGGTTTGCTTTTGCTGTCTACTACTCAAGGGTAGGCTTACTTTGATCTTCATCTATGAGATATATCTTAAACAGTACATATGCAGAGATTGCTAAGTCTTAGTTCTTAGAGAGAAGGAGACTGAGGGTATTTCATTAAATGCTGTTATCTAAAGACACAGCATACAGGAAATGTGCAGTAGCTATTCAAACCATTATCAATCAAGTTTAATGATTAACCTGTAATTTATTTAATTACTCAAAAATCACTAAAATGTTTCTAAATATTTACTACTTTTACTGTTAAACCTAAAACATTCATTCGCTTGAGTAGAACTTCACATTTGCTTTGATAGATAATACAAAACAATGACCCACCACTGATTATATGCCTGAAAGTACTAAGTACAAAGGATTGGTGAGCCAAGGTGGTATATATATATATCTGTGAGTTTGGGGCCAGCCTGACCTACAGAGCAAGTTCCAGAACAGGCTCCAAAGCTACACAGAGAAATCCTGTCTCGAAAAACCATTTATATACATGTGTGTGTGCATGTGTGTGGGCGTGCGTGTATGCAATTTATATTTAAATGTCATGTTGCAATGTGTGTGTGTGTGTGTGTGCATTGCAACATGACACTTAAAAGAGAAAAAGCTTAAGAGTGAGGGTTGGGGGATATCTCAGTTAGCTAAGTGCTTGCTGTATTCAAATGATGATTATTTACATACAAAGTCAACACTGGTAGGTAGAGAAGGGATCCTTGAAGCTCAGGTACAGTAAGAGTCTCTGTCTCGAAAAACTAAGGGACATCAACAACAGAACACCAAAGTGGAGAGGAAAGTATGAAATTTAACCCTTGCACAGAGAACTATGGTAACTAAGAAATGCACAGAGCAGAAGAATTAGTCTTCTCCAGGGAGGAGCATACCAATAGGTTTTCCAATATGAAATGCCCAGCTCTGACAATATACATATGAGCAACATTATGCAAACTGAGATGATTGCATTTAGAAATATGCATGCATATGCATACACACACATATGCGCATGTGCAACAATTAGTGAAAAAAAGAGGATAGGAAATGGAGAGGAAATAGAAGAGAGAAATGGCATAATTATAATCTTACAAAACCCAACTAAGTTGGAAAGATATTGAAGACACCTGATATTGATCTCTGTCCTCCACATGCACCTGCACACACATGAACACGTAGAAACGTGCATATGCATGCCACCAGATGCAGACAGTAAATCTCTTAAAGACCTATACATGGTTACCAAATTTGAAAGGTGGGAACAGAGGGAAACTTAATGTGCTTTTGAGATGTTTTCTTTACATATGACTTTTGTCTTTTGTAGAAAAAAAATAAAGAAAAATAGGAAGAGGAAAAGAAGGAAAGTAGAAAGAAAAGAAGAGAAGTGTGAAAGAGGAAAGGAAAGAAGGAAGATCTTCTACTCTCTACATTGTTAGTTTTATCTTAAAATCCTTACTTGAAGCGTTGCTTGGGAAGTTGTGGATGCAGTGTCATGATGGGCACAGCGTGGGCACAGGCCAGTTCAAAGCTCAAGAGTAGGCCTCCAAAATTCAGATCAAAATAATATTATTAATTCTGTACAGAACAATAGAACTCAGTCAAAATAACACACTGTCTTCACATTATCTTTCTGGGTAACATGAGGCAGTCATTCGGGCCAAAAGTAATCTGTACTTTCTCCTACTTCTTTATCTCTCGATTGTGCAAAACTTGGTAGGAAAGAAGCCAGCAAAGATTTAGTGCCTAACACCCTCTGTAACAGCCTCAGAGAGAGATCAGTAAAAAGATCATTCTGCCCTGGTGACAAGGATTGGGGTAAATGAAATCCAAATCTGAGGGGGAACACACTGGGCTGGGCATGCTTAGAATTAACTCAATATTATCGTTTTACTCATCCACTGATAGGAAAACTTGAGAAACTTGCATGAAATTCGTGATCACATTATCATTACAATCACCTCTTCTGGAAGTCATTTCATTTTGGAGAGAAACAAACATTAAATAAAAGAGTTTATACCCAGTATATGAGGTTCTGGCATTAGACATTATTTCTTCTTATTTTTGTTCTGTTTCCTTGTTTATTCATTCATTTGTACTTTTGTCCCAATAAGTGCACTTCATTTTTAGGTATCTGGTGTCAAAAAGTCTTGATTCTGTGTAAAGACAGGAAAAGCGGTAAGCTCTTCTCTGTTCATAAATATTCATGACTGACATCTCTACAATAAAAGACAGTAGCATAGTAAGTTAAGAAGAAAATACAACAAATGTCTATTATATGAACCTGGTGACATTTAGATGAATAATTCAAAGACGCAAGGTGGATTCCAAGGTTTATATAATCCATTTTATACTCAGTTGAGAAATACAGCAAGACCTATATAATTCATCTATTCTTAGTCTCTAAATAGAGCATATCTCCTACCAAGTATGGGACAGAACACCTGAAAGAGAGTTATATGGTCTACTACCACACAGAGTTTTCCAGAAAACTTAATGGTGAGCTCCAAAATAGTAAACATCGGGATATATTTTTAGGTTTTATTCCTTACTTTGTGGAAGGAGGCTAAGTTTCTAAGACTCATCTAAAGAGCAGAAAGCTCAGTTTCACACATTCAGAAGAGGATCAGGGTGAGGTGCTCGGATGGGGTAGGGAGACAGAAATGAAAAAAAGTTAGGAGAGGGCCTCAGTAAGTAGTTCAGACAAGCCTGGAACTCACTGCGTATTCCTAACTGCCAAACTAGCCTAGATCTAGCAATCATCCTGCCTCTAGCTTCCCAATAGTGCGATCACAGGACTGTGCCACCATAGCCTAGAACGTTACTCCTAAGGTCTTTAGTTTAAAATAGGATTTTCTGATATCGACAGAGGAAAACCACAAAGGTAAGCTTGGAAATAATCAGCTGTAAACTTGGTATTGCCCAACAAACCACAGTTTCCTTTAATGATAACGAGAAGAAACAGACCTCTTATGGTTGTTGTATTGAAAGAATAAGGGGTAATGAGTAAGCCAGAGGTATTTGTGGACTAGGACCCTATGGTAATCATCTGCCTCACAACAGAAGAATCAGTGGCAAAATCAAGACCAGGCGTCATTTCTTACCACCCTACATAGGCTAATTCAACTAATACATTGTTTCATTTTATGGGCAGAAAAACTGAGATATAGAGAAGGTAAATGCTCCTCTAAGGTTATATGATTTAAAAAAAATGATGCATTACTGGTAAGAATTAGAATGCTCTGTTTTACTGACTTCTGTCTGTCTTGAATTTTTTGGTGGCCCAGGACACTTTATCATGTTATAATTTTATATGTTGTATGGTATATATGTTTATTATGTGGGTTACAGATGTTGCTGTTGTGATTTTAAGATTCACCATGGGGAAAGATTTACATTGATCATTTGAATCCCGTTACTTGCACAGTTCAGTGACATTGCATATATACTCATTCTTGTTCAATGACCAATGACAACAATTTTCTCCTCCGTTCCAAACGAAACTCTGTACCCATTAGGTAACAATTCCCCAGTACCTTGTTTCTTCAATTCCTAGCAGTGACTCATGGGTGTTATTTTCTGGCATAAAAAATATTTATAAGCAGTGAAAAAAATGTAACTATATGCAAAGGGGAAAGGATTCAGTAAGGAGAAAAAAATTGTAACTAGCCCTTCAGTACTGTGAACTCTGTGAGTGTGCTGTGTATATCTTTAAAAGTCTCTCCACCTCTCAGCCCGCCTCCTCGGTGTTTACCCCTGGAATTTTCTGCCTCCAAGTTTCCTCTGCCTCAGAGAGCAGCTAACAAGGCAAATTCCTTTGTAGTTTCAGAAGCAGGCTTGTTGCCATGGAGTCCACAATGCCACTGGAGTAGACTAGTAAAAGGTAACCACTAAAGATCCTGTCCATAGATAGGCTGTGGTTCTTCTTCTGGAAAAGCCTGACTGGTAGGATTCCTTTAAGGGCTCAGCCCCAAAGTGTTTTATGTCATCACTTCAGCTACTTCAAAACTGAAGCTACAGGAGACCTCTGAAAGAGAACCTACTGGGCTCAAAGGCTTCCCACCAATGGCCAATCCTAGAGGTACTACTGTTATTAATGGGACTTTCCACAGCCCCAAGACTCAGCACAGCAAATGGCAAAGCACTGACGGTGTGAAAAATGGAATCCCAAAAGAAGCCCAGGTAAGAAGCTATCCCCTACATCCTTAATCTGCATGGTCCAAATATTTTCGTATTTCTTAGCAGCATCATTTAAGGTAGTCTTTACTCAAAGTTTCTCTTGGGGAATGTTTTATTGTCTTGACTCAGCCAATCAGCTAATATTTGTTATGTGTGTCTGCTACAAAGCTTAGAGGTGGCTATAAGGGAATTTCTTCTGTAGACAAAAGAAGATGTAGACAGAGTCACGAGGTCCCAGAATCTATAAAATAAAAAGTTTGTAAACTTTTCATTTCCTATCAAGCATTGGGGAGGGGGTATCAAGATTGTAAAAGATCAAACTCTTTGAGCTACCAAGCAACTTGCTACACTCACAAATGGTTCAGAAAGAGAGAGAGAGAGAGAGAGAGAGAGAGAGAGAGAGAGAGAGAGAGAGAGAGAAGTGATGGGTAAATCTTGCTGAGATTATGGGGTAGATAATGCTTGTCCCTGATGCATATGAAATGCCTTTCTGGTTGAAAAAAAATTTTTTGGTGTTTAACAGAGTATTGTCATAGCCACAGCCTGATTAGAGACTGGGGTCTCTCTTTGGAATCGGACTCCTTCCCTCCAGTATCCCTTTCTAAAAACCACTTCTGGAAGTGGCGCTTAGGGTGTTCTGCACACTGAAAGCAAGCAAGGTCTTTAAAACAGACTTTCCAGTTATTTCCATTTCGCATTTTTCCCTCTTTGGGGCCTCTGCTCTTATAAAATATTTGAGGGTATGTAATAGGGAAGAGAGACTCAAACAACTATTCAAAATAGCATCTCAGATCTGTGGGGTTCTTGAAGAAAAGCATTTGTGCATGTCACATACCTTGCCAAGACTTTCTGGTCTGAGTCACACGGTGAGCTAACCTGCCTTAAGGACAAGCTTGAATAGACAGATAGGCAATCTCACTGTGGGGGAATTGGCAGAGCTGTGTGTAGAACCTCATGGAATCCTCCCCTTGTGAGCCAGCCTCTGCTTGAGGAAAATGTTAGGTTGTGCCAAACACCTAGAACAGAGAGGTCTGGCTGGGGACAGGCCTCCATACTCTGAATCAAATTTGCATGCCCACTTGGGAGGTGCAAGGGGCACTCAGGATCCTGGCTTGTGTGGTAAATGGTATGGCCCCTAAGTGTATCCATCTTTTATCCAAAGGCATTTGGAAGCACCTACCAGAAATCTCAGGCTGAAGCAGGATGGAGAGAAAGGGCATTAGAAAACTCACGGGACTGTACATCCTCCGCTCAGATCATTGCTAAGATGCCCCTTGTCCCTGAAGTACCTGTTTCACTAGACACTCTTTACCCCCTAGATTTTTCTGATTCTTGGGTATCTTATTTGACCATAGATGCCTTCAAAACAAGTTTTTCTTTTTTTTTACTTATCTTGATTTCATAACTATATCCTAGTGTTTGAAACTGAAAGAGTAAATAGAAAACACAGACATTCCTATGTAAGAGTAAGGTCCCTCCTGTACATGAGTGTAACTGTACAAGTCTGTAACATACTTAGTCATGGAAGCTTCTGGAAGTGCATACATAATGTCACTACTGTGGACTTTCCGGACAGCTCTTTCTGAGAAGATCCTGTTTGCTAAGATATATTTAGATGTTTCTAAGTTGAAATTGGCTTTCACTAAGGCGCTCAGTTATGTCTTAATAAATATTTCCCTGAAATAATAAACTCTGCTGAGTTCATAACAGAATGAAGTAAAAAGGACCTATGTTCTCCTTCTAAAGTGTGAATAAAGTTGTCTTTATTATCATGATCCTCAGGCAAAAGTTCTACCTCATGGGCCTCTTAACAAGCTATGTCTTGGCCAACAGTCTTGCCTGTTGGCAAAAGCAATCCATGGGAGCTTGTAGATGTTTGAGGTCAGTGGTCTTTCAAATGCTTTGCCAGACTTAGGGCTTTCAGGACAGTGCCTCAAACCCTACCCGTTCCAATGAAGATCTCTTTAGCTTTTCTTCTGCTTCTTTGTATGCACACAGACATACAGTTGCCACTTTCACATACAGGCTACTCTGTAGTATTCTATTGGTAAACAATTTCCCAGCGTAACAAGCAAAAGATAAACACTGTTAGGCAGGAACTTGGGAATGTCCTCCACTTTCTTCCAGTGTAGCTTGCTGTGAACTCTGTGATTCCAGTATATAGGCTTAGTAGCCCAACCTCACAACTGAACAGGAGCCAGAACTTTTCCACTTGGAAAACATCTAGAGTTTCTTTCTGGAGCTTTTCAGAGCCTTAATCCTATTGCCTTTCCTTTCTTGTTAAGCCCCGTATGATCCAGGGATGAACTGAAATGGGCTTTCACCACTGATTAAGTCCATTCTTTGCTCACTTCTAATATGGCCCCTGTGTTGTTATGCTTGCTAGAATGCTATTGTCCAAGACAACTGAGCCTCCCTCCCCACGAGCATATCCAGGTGAAGCTTGGTTGGCTTTCGATACCCTTAAATTTTATGAACTCTTTCCTGGACAGTTGCAAAGTTTTTAAATTTTGCCTTTGGCTTCTATTTGTTACCAAGTCTCACCATCAAGATGACTGAAAGTGGTCAATATTATCCTTTGAAAGCTTGGATAATTCATTGCTTCAAAAGTTTCTTCTTCAATATAAACTGTTCTTCATTCTTAATCTCATCCTTTATAAAAAAAAATTCATGGCATAGACACAATGCAGGCAAGTTCTTGCGACACTAGCTGTGAGAACAGAGATAAATGACATAGAATCTCTGCGAAATGAGACTTAATGGAAGATCCTTGGGTTAGCTGTACTCATGAACTCAAAAGGAATTTAGGGAGACCAACCTCACTCGAGCTTCCTTTCTGGTGATGTGATCTCTTTCTTTCCCATATATTCCCACAATTAAGATGTCATATCAGAAGATCCTCATAAGACCTGAGCCAATACTGGCATTATACCCTTGAACATCCTGTATTGTTACTTTCATAATTTTTTATCTTGATAAAATTATATTATTTCAGACATTTTGTTTTTAATAATCTTATCAAAATGGAAATGTATTGCAAACTAGTTCTTCATAATTATTACCAGACATGTGACTGTGGCAGTAGTTCTGTAGTTGGAAGATAGGATGTTAGAGAGTTTGAAGGAGCAGACTAGAGATATCTCTGACTCTGCAGCCAGTGTTGTAGACCATTCCATGAGATATTGAAAGACAAGGATACTAGGGAACTAATCTCAGATGGCAATAAGGAACCTATCAGAAATTAGAGGAAAGGACTCCATACCAGAAGCAAAGGGAGGATAAATAGACTGTGCTTTCTAGCTGGAGGAACTGGACAGTCACAGTATAAAAGCTATTGGAGGGATCAGAGGAACTGCCACCACCATCTCAGGAAAAAAAAAATGCATAAGCACTGAGCTATGTAGACCATGCTTGAGATTTAGATAATTGTAATTTCGTCACCCCAGAAGACTGGATTATCCTAGTAAGTGATGTACACAAACCTTACCCACTGAATTAAGCAAAAAAGAAAACAAATAAATCAAATCCCATATCATTTCCATGAATTTTCATAGAGCAGAACCTTGGCAATATCACCAATTTTTAACAATATAAAAATTTAAAACTTTACACAGTATCATAAAATACAGTGAAAACTTAAAATTTGCAATATAAATGAAGGGATGGACAGTAGAGATGGCTCAGTGGATAAGAGCACTTGCTTTTTGTCAGAAGACCAGGGTTCAAGTCTCAGCACCCACATGGTGGCTCACAATCCCCCATAACTCTGTCTGCAGGAGATCTGGCACCCTCTTCTGACCTTCACAATCACAATGAATATGTGCTATTCACTTATACACATAGAAACAAAACACTCATATAAACTAAATAAAAAAGGAAAACAAATAGAAAAACATTATTTGAAAGGATAAAATAATGAGGGATAATTAGTACTATGTTATACATGAAATAATTAGAGCCTTTTATAGGAACAAAAATTATATGTTTATAAAATTCATACATAAAATAGAGGATATTATATATTTTAAAAATAGTATTTACATAGAGAACTCTATTGTAATTATAGCATAAATTTTAAGATCCAAGCTGGGCAGTAAATGCAGATGCCTTTAATCCCAGCACTCAGGAAGCAGAAGCAGGAGGATCTCTGTGAGTTCAGTGCCAGCCTGGTCTACAGAGCTAGTTCCAAGATATCCAGAGCTATGTAATGAGACCTTGTCTCAAAAAAACAAAACAGACAAAAAATATTCAAGATCCACAAAAGGAGAGGCTAAAAACTTATCAGCATAAAAATCAAGCATTTCTTTTGAATGACAAAACCAAAATTACATATGAAAAAAAGACAATACTATAAAATCATCAAAAGCCATATTATAGGCCAGGAAAATGTTTACAATTCACAAAATTAAATGAAAAAAATCTATGGGGACATTTAGAACCAAACATTGAAAATTCTACAGAAAAAATAGGAAAAATATACATATTTTTTAAAAGGTGAGAGGGAGCTCACTGACTCTGGACTGACAGTGAAGGGACCAGCATAAAACCAAACTAGGTCCTCTGAATGTGGGTGACAGTTGTATGGCTGGGGCAGACTGGGGCCACTGGCAGTGCGACCAGGATTTATTTTTAGTTGAACTGGCATTTTGGAGTCCATTCTCTGTGGAGGGATACCTTGCTCAATGTAGATATAGTAGTGAGGGCCTTGGTCCTGCCTCAAAGTGATGTGCTAGACCTTATAGACTCCCCATGAGAAGCCTTATCCTTTCTCTCTGGGGAGTGGATGGGGTGGGGGAAAGAGAAAGGAGCGGGAAAAGGGAAGAGAATGGGAACTGGGATTGGTATGTAAAGGGGGGAAAGATTGTTTTTAAAAAACAAATTTCAATTGAAAAAAGGTGAGACGGGGATGGAGGAGGGATTGCCATTGAATCACAAAGAAATAAAGACCCGCTTTCTTAGCTTTGTCTGTGAAGTGAGCAATCAGGCTGGAATGCAGTTTGAAG